GATGTCAAGAATATATGGTATTAAAAAGATTATCAGATGATTTGAATTAAGAGGAAGTATTGCATTTAATGTTCCCAATATGGTCAATATGGTTAGGGGTAAAAAATTTTGTATTTTTCCATATTATCAAGATCCTTATCCATTTGTCAGTCACAGCCCATGGATGTTTGGATTTATGAAATGCCTGTCAATATCCCCTTTTACTGTTGATACATCGTTTGAAGCTGAGCTGAAACTGGTGTCAAAGCCCAGAGATGACACCTGGTGGTGGTTAATCACAAAGGTGATTCTGCCAAGAGACTTCCCATGTGTGCACTTGTCTTCACAGCTGTTGTTCTGTATGATATTTGCAGTTCTTTTCCTGTCAAAAGCCTGTGATCAAGGCTTTTTATTCCCACAGTACATACAGTACTGCCAGAACTTTGAACTAGGAATGTATCTGACAGCAGTGATTATGTTTGAAAAGACTTGCAGTCTTTTTTTTAATCAATTTTGCTCTTCAACTAATAGGAGTTACTCGTAATTTGTCTCTCTTTCCCCAACCGTAGAATGGAGAGAGGCCATTTTGAATATCGAATCGTAGTAGATATCATGTAGCAGAACAGGCTGAAACCTGGAACTGATCCAAAAATAATTGATCACAAATCTAAAATACAATGTAAATACTTTTAGAGTAAATCTAAGTGCTCATATTTAGAGTACAGCTCCATTTGTTGCAAGTCACTCATATCCCAGTGTCAGTTGACGAATGGCACCAACTTTTGAGGCTCCAAATCAGCAGAATGCATACAGAAACCTTTGGGCATCAATGTAAATGCAGAAAGCCTGAAACAGTGTATAATTGAATGAATGTGCTGTTGTGTCATCTTTGATTTGTGTTTTATCTGAGCAGAGTTTGAAATAACTTTTTGTAAGGCAAGAGAAATTTAAGACAATCTAAATTTATATATGTATTAGTTGATCTTCTTGACATTGAAAAATGAGCAACGAATGACACTGCTTGTTTCGAAAATTAAGTATTATAAAAATGTAGCTGTTTACATAAACATGATTTGTTTCCATGATACCTGTTCTTAAGTGTGTTTTGATTTTCATAAAGCTTTTTTGAGTTACGTTTTGCTGGTTCAGTTTATTTGATTTGCCTTTTCACTTATATCTTTGTGTTTCAGTTGCAATTCAGGCTTAGTAGAAAATAATTACTTTGCTGAGAGCAGACTGAAGTTACAGTTTTGTTTTGCAATTATAATTTGTGTTAAATCAACCTAGTCTTATCCACATTATACTTCGATGTGACTGTTGAATTTATTTCCTATGAAAATTGGGATGTCCCAACTATCAACCTTTCTATATCTTAGTTTTATAGAGAATTTCTATCTTTTTGATTTGATTTTCTAGTTTTTAGATTTCAAAGTGAAAAGATCTGGTTGGTATTGGTCTATGGAATATACTCAATATACAGTCCTGATCAGGCATAATGACCTTTTACAAGCAGTGCTTATACTTTTTGCAGTGAAGAGTAGTTAGCTTTTGGAAAATTGCTTGAAAATACTTTTCTGGGTTCCATAATGCAATTATTGTGTTTTCAAAGTCAAATTCATGTTTTTGATTAGGTGGTGAGGGTTGTTGGGCGAAGAATAAGTGCTGATTATTGTTTGTATTTTGTCATGATGTTTACCTGATTTACTTTAAAAAAGGGAAGGTGTACTTTTAAGTTTTGTCAGATAACAATGAATTCTGACTTTGCACAAAGTATATAGAATTTTGAAAGTTCCATACTTTATCCTATTAGCCTCAAATTTACACATATCCTCCATTTCAGGTAGTTCTGCAATGTGCTGCAACTCCAAGTGACCTTGTGTTCACACTACAAACGTTACAGAGTGAATGTAAGCTAGCAGTGTATGTGCGAGCTTTGTACCATACCTCTCTGCAGTAAATAAGAAAGCTCCTTAAAATACTCCAGTTTTCTAAATACATTTTCCCATTAAATAATTCTTCCTATTAAGACTGTTCATAGAGTTGAGATGTACAACACAGAAACAGACCTTTTGGTCTAACTCTTCTATGCCGACCAGACGTTCTAAATTAATCTAGTCCCATTTGCCAGAATTTGGTCCATATTCCTCTAAACCCTGCCTATTCATATACCCATCCAGATGCCTTTTAAATATTGTAATTGTACCAGACTCCACCACTTCCTCTGGCAGTTCATTCCATACACTCATCACCCTCTGTGTGAAAAGTTCCCCCTTTAAGTCCCTTTTAAATCTTTCCTCTCTTCCCTGAAACATTTGCCCTCTAGTTTTGGACTCCCCTACCCGGTGGAAAAGACCTTGACTATTCACCCTATCCATGCTCCTCATGATTTTATAAACCTCCATAAGATCACCCCTCAGCCTGTGATGATTCAGGGAGAATAGCCGCAGCCTATTCAACCTCTCCCTATAGCTCAAACCCTTGCAACATCCTTCTAAATCTTGTCCAACCCTTTCAAGTTTAATATTAAATGCTATTCCCTCAAAAGTTTGCTTTACAGAACTCAAATTTCTTCGTAATTTTTTATCCATCCTGGTTTGCTAATTTCAAAGTTGACATAATTTTATGATGATGTGATTTCAAATGTATCCAATTTGTATTTGACTTGCTGTTACATCATTAGCCAGCTCCTAATGCATACAGAAGGTTTTCACTGTAATTCCAAGTCTATGTCAGAAAGTTAGAAATTGTGCGCAAAATGCATGTGCTTGCAAGAGAGAGCCATGGGATCAACAACAAACTACCCCATCTCAAGTAATGGTCCCTGATCAAAAGGATGAAAACTATAATTCTGATGGACCAGTCCAAAACTTGGAATTTAGCTTTTTCAAAAAAAATTCTTATGGATATCAGGAATTAAATCAACAACATTTTTGAAATAATTCAGAAAAAGTGATATCAGTCATCATCTTTTCCTATCCTGAACTCATGCTGGAAAAATTCAGTGCAATTAGAGCATAAACCAGACAATGAGAATGTTGCACTCACCCTCAAGCCTCTTGGCTGTCATGGTCAAATGTCAGCCTGTGTGCCTGATCCTCATTGTCAATTCTAGCTTTGAATGATTTCATAGATATGAAATGAGGATATAATTTGGCTCTAGGTGATTATTTGGTTCACTAACTATTAAGGTTTACTGTCCATTCACATGGAATTTTATGTTCTATACAAGAGGTATATAAGATGAAAAGCAGAAAGCAATGATAAGCCAATAATCTATAAAGTAGTATTGAGGACATTAGAAAAATAGTGCAGAGTCAATAGAATGTTTCCTGATGTAGGGAAATGAGGCTGGTGTTTTCCGCTATTACTTCTAAGTGAGAGGGCAGGTGTCAAAAGACTTAGCTACTCACCATCGCCGCTAAAGAGAATGCCTCCTCAATCAATGGCAATCAGGTATTTATTTAAGCAGTGATCTGGTGGGCCTCTCAGCCAAACATGCTGGAGGATAATGATGTCCTGCCCTGATTTGAGCTGTAGTACCATTGAAAAACTGCAGGCTGTACAGAAGTGCTGAAAACCAAGGGCATGTGGAAAATAAGTGATCTGCTGCTAAAATCATGAGGTGGGGGATGCAGGGCAAGCATCATACTTCCAACCCATCCACGTCCCTGACTGCCACTAGAATGGAACAGATGATGCTTCGATCCAACAGACAGTTGTCCTGTTGCAACAGTTGGGAAGGCTGTCATTTTTCTTACCTGCCTGGAACAAGTTAATTGGGTCGATTGCGTGCTGAAGCCCTTATGTGATTGTTAATTGATCCTGAAGGGCTTCAGTTGGAAGCAGTTTCGAAGATTAAGCTTGGCCTTCCCATCCAGAACTTAATTTCCTGAGGTGAAGAGAAGATGCGGCATGGATTTCTCTCGTGCCAACCCATATGAGCATTTGCCTTTCCTGATACTTTCCCTGCCACTTCCAAGGAAGTGAAAATTCCAGCCACAAATGCAAAGAAAGACTTTAAAATACTGGGGCAATTGCAATCCTAGTTGCATTAAAGCAGCATAGATTCTGGAAATATCAGAGGACAGGATAAGTAAAAGCATAAACATAAAACAAATAATACTTAACAAGCTCAGCAAGTCAAGCCATGTCTGTAGCGAGAGAGAAAACATTACTATTTCTTGATTCTTGACTTGACAAGCAAATCAAAGGGTATGGGGTTGACAGGAAAGTAGAGGCTACAGTCAAATCAGACATTCAAGTGACAGAGCAATGTGAGTGACAGCGCAAAGTCAAAGGGATGAATGGCCTGCTTCTACTTCAAATTCATTTGTTCACTTGTTTCCACTTGTCAACATCATGGGATCAAGAACAAGAGATCATAGATAAAAGCGGGGAAGCAAGACAGTTGCCCTTTTTTTTCTTGAATAGCCTCATGGAATCTTTTATTAGATCTCTATGTCAGTCATCATTAACTCGTGTACTGTCCATGGCAATGCCTCTAACCAATCAAAGTCCACTTTCCAACCAATCAGCTTTCTTTTCTCATACAGTATAAATGTTGTTTTCCTCTGTGTTGACGTTTCTTGCAAATTGTTCAGATGAGTGCAAAACAATTTTTTCCCAGTAGTGTTCAAGTTCAGCACTGTCAGATGGTGAAAAGTAAATCTGTTAAAGCATTTGTTGACTTATTGTTTATAAACCTAAATTAGTGGTTACATTTTAACAACTCATGAACAAAGTTAATGAAAATCAGGAAAGTGATAACAGTTGATCTTTTAAACCATTGGTTGATATGCACCATTCAGTGCAGGCAGATCTTGCTTTAATGTATGAATTTCTGCATACCTTATTATCTTCATATTTGCATGAATGAGGTTCATTCTGCCTGCAGTGTTCTGTAATAGTTCTAATTCTGCGATGATTTTAATTCTGCTGCACAGATCACTTGTGTTTAGATTTTTGTTTTAATGTAAAATCCAGGCAGTCAGACACATCTACAATATTCTGATTATTTGCAGCTTTGCCAACTTTTACCCGAATCCCTGTGGATCAGATTGGAATTTCTGGAGGAGTGGCTTCATTTGTGTGCCAAGCAGTAGCAGAGCCTAAACCTCGTATCACTTGGATGAAAAAAGGCAAGAAAGTCAGCTCTCAGCGCTTTGAGGTAAGATTCTGACCCTTAAATACTTAAATATAAAGGTTGGATGAAACCAGGCTTAACGAGCCATAGATATTGAATGTTAATTTACACGATAGAATTGTGACAGTAATTTACATTTTTTTTTGGCTGACAGATTGATACTTTGAGAAATTCATTACCCTGTTTAACACAAAAGTCACATGACACCAGGTTATAGTCCGAAAGGTTTATTTGAAATCACAGGCTTTTGGAGCACAGCCCCTTCCGCCAGGTGAAGTGAGAGAGGAGAGCACACAGACACAGAATTTCGAGGCAGAGAGATCAAAAGATCTTAACTGGTGTGAATAGACTGTCAAATAATAAGGCTATGCAGGTGACCAAGAGTGTCAGATGGTGTGAGTAAAGTGTGAACAGCTGAATAACAAGCAAAGGGATGACCTATAATCTGATTAAATGAGGCAGAGAGATAATTGCAAAAAATTAAAAATAAGGTGATGCTGGAGACAGACCAAATGACTGGAATAACATGATAGGCATAAGAGTCACATGGCGAGGGTCACACCATTTGTATGATCTTTTGATCTTTCTGCCCTTGATCTCTCTCTGCCTATAAATTCTGTGTCTGTGTGCTCTTCTCTCTCACTTCACCTGACGAAGGAGATGCACTCCGAAAGCTTGTGAATTCAAATAAACCTGTTAGACTATAACTTACTGATGTGTGATTTCTGACTTTGTCCATCCTAGTCTAACACTGGCACCTCCACACCATGTTTAATTCATCTGAAGTGTTTTATTTGCCAATTATGGAGTGCACTCATTTAATTTAGTCCAAAAGTGCAGTTTAGCAGAACTTGAGGCTTGGGAGCCCTCCAATCTATAAAGAGATACCAAACAAAAAACCAAGAACTGCAGATGCTGGAAATCTGAAACAAAAACAGAAATTGCTGGAGAAACTCAGCGGGTCTGGCAGTATCTGTGGAGAAAAAGCAGAGTCAATATTTCACGTTCATTTACCCTTCTTCTTCAGAACCTTCTTCGAGTTCCTGATTTTGCTGAGTTGCTAAGTTACTCCAGCAATTTCTGATTTTGTATGAAGAGATACCACTGGAGTTTAACTTGGTAAAACTGTGCAGCTTACAAAGAACATAAGAAATTGGAGCAGAGTAGGACCTTTCGATTCTTTGAGCCTGCTCCACCATTTAATTTGATCATGGCTATTACTTCAATATTGTTTCCTTGCTCTATCCCCCTATCTCTTTAATGTTTTTAACATGTAGAAATCTAGCAATCTTAGTCTCACCAGAGATCCTCAGACAGCACCTTCCAAACCCTTGACCACTTCCTATAGAATGACAAGGCCAGCAGACACATAGGAACACCACCACCTGCAAGTTTCCATCCAAGCCATTCACCATCCTGACTTGGAAACATATTGCCATTCCTTTAGTGTCACTGGGTCAAAATCCTGGAATTCCATCCCTAGTGGCATCATGGGTCAACTCAGAGCAGGTGACTGCAGTGGTTCAAGAAGGCAGCTCATCACCACCTTCTCAAGGGCAACTAGTGATGGACAATAAAGGCTGGTCAGCCCATGACGCCCACATACCACAAATTAATTTTAAAAAGTCTTGATTATACTCAATGACTGAGACTCTGCAGCTCTCTGAGATGGAGAATTTCGAAGATTCACTATCCTCCTCCTCTCAGTCTTAGTGGTCTGCTGCTTAATCTGAGACTGCACCCCCTGATTCACGACCCTCAACCAAAGGAAACATTCTTCTTATCTGCAGAGAATATAGACCCAGTCTATTCAGTCTGTCCTCATAGGATGTCCCTCCATCCCAGGAATTAGTTCAGTGAACTTTTGTAAGTATATCAATGACAGTATATCATTCCTTAGGTAAGGAGATGAAAACTGTACACAAAACACTGTATGATCTCACCAAGGTTCTATGTAATTGAAGTAAGATGTAGGAAATTTCATGAAAACGTTTCTCATAAAGTGATGGAAGGTGTCATCAATAGAGATATCAAGCAGCACCTGTTTAGCAACAACCTGTTCACTGATGCCCAGTTTGGGTTCTGCCAAGGTCATTCAGTTCCTGATCTCATTCCAGCCTTGTTTCAAGTGGACAAAAGAGCTGAATTCCAGAAGTGAGGTGAAAGTGACAACCCTTTACATCAAGGAGAACCAGTAAAACTGGAATCAATGGGAATCAGGAGCAAATCTCCACTGGTTGGATTCATACCTGACATAGGAAGATGACTCTGGTTGTCAGAGGTTGCTTCAACTTAACATTTGTCAGCCCAAGCCTGAATATTATCCAGGCCTTGTTGCATTTGAACATGAGCTGTTTCAGCATCTGAGGGATCATGAATGGTGTTGAACATTGTTTAATCATCGGCGAACATCCATACATCTGATTTTATCATGGAATTGATTGAGGTCATTGATGAAGCAGCTGAAGATGGTTCAGTCGAGGACACTACTCTGAGGGACTCCTGTAGAGATGTTCTGGAGCTGAGATGACTGACCTCCAACAACCACAACCATCTTCCATGTGCCAGGCATAACTCCAACCATTGGAGAGTTTTCTCCCGATACCCATTGATTCCAGTTTTGCAAGGGCTTTTTAATGCCACACTCTGTCGATTGCAGCCTTGATGTCAAGAGGTGTCACTCTGACCTCACCTTGAATTCAGCTGTTTTGTCCACATTTGAACCAAAGCTGTAATGAGCTGAGTGGCCCTGGCAGAACCCAAACTGGCCGTCACTCAGCAGATTATTGCTGAGCAGTGTTTGATAACACTGTTGATGACACCTTTCATCACTTTATGAAGACAGTTTTCATGAATTTGGTTTTTATTCCCCTAAGCTTAGAGGGTGAAAAAAAATCAAAGTGTTTTAAATGATGGAAAAAATTTGTTAGGATAGGTACAAAAAAGCTATTTCCTGTAGTAGGCTGCACAATCTTGGTTATTTTACTGAACAGCAGCATAATCGAATTCATCTAACTCTTGATTCCTCCTTGAGCATGTGTAAAAATTCTACATTAGCAGAGTGTGCGCATGCCTTTGACACACAAGCACACTTGCTTGGAACAGGGAGTAGTAGAACTGACACAGGGCTGAGATCTCTAATACTCCAGCTAATGCTACTATTGTTACATTCTTAGACATTTCCATATCCAACATATTAATGGCCATCATACAAGTCAAGTTAGGTTAGTTAACAAATAATCAGATTCCTAAAAGCAGTAATCTATTTGTAAATTATCAACTATTTCAACTGTTGCTTTAGCACTTCAACTCATTCTGTTCACTGAATGAATTGATCACAGCTAAGCTTGATCTTGTCCGCGCCAAGTGTCTACATATTCAAGTATTTTGCAAGAGTCATGACTGGTTAGCAAGCAGGTGTGTTTAAAACTGTGACAGAAAATAGCCGAATCTCTGGGGAATTTCAGATTCATATGACATGTTGCATTAGGTAGTATCTTTACTTGTCGTTTGAACTGCTATTGATCCACAAGTAATCTAAACCAACATTTATTGATGATTCTACATGCATCCTAATGACTAGCATTTTGGAACAAGTAAGGGGACATTTGCTGGACATATGATTGAACAACATCAGCTTTGTGGACACTTGAAAAATCTTTTCTATGGCTCCCAATAGAGAGGTCTTCTTTGACCCCTTCTATTAGTTATGTGTTCAATTAGGTGTTCGTTATTTGATTTCCAGGTTATAGAATTTGATGATGGCACTGGATCAGTGCTTCGAATTCAACCACTAAGAGCACCACGAGATGAAGCAATCTATGAGTGCACAGCAGCAAATAGCGTTGGACAAATAACAAGAAGTGCCAAACTAACAGTACTAGCAGGTAAGAATATTTTTTCCGTTTGTTGTAGCATTTAATTTGTTAATACAACACCAAATCTCATCGTACTGCCAACAGAGTTAGTATATAACTGTCATTTAGCTATTAACATGATGTGGATGTGCACATTTAATGATGGGAGAGGTCAGTTGAAAATAAAGTATTTAACTTGATATAATAATGCAGAACTATACAGAAATGGGAGGAGTCAAGATTATTAAAGACAGACCATAAGACAATGAAAGCAACAACGGGTAATTTCAGAGACATAAATAAGTCTCTTCTAGTTGCATTTTGAGTTTAATGCTGCAAGAGATTTTGCAGCAGAAATGTCTATTCATTTTGCAAGCTATTTACCCTGTTCATTTCAGACTAATAATGCAGGTATCCAGAATTATTATGGCCTCATTGATTCCATGGATCTGACCCTTATTATTCAGTTGATTTTAGGGCAGCACAGTGACTCAGTGGTAAGCACTGATGCCTCACAGTGCCAGGCACTTGGGTTTGATTCCACTCCCAGGAGACTGTGGGAGTTTGCACATTCTCCCCGTGCCTACGTGGGTTTCCTCCAGGTGCTCCTCGGAAAGTCAATGTGGACCTGGACTGAATGGCCTGCTTCCACTCTGTAGGGATTCTGTAATTTAGAATTGCATTTTCTTGAGGTGAGCCCATACCACTCATTACATGAAGTGAACATGAATATCTATAGAGATAGCATGTAAACCTGCTGAGGATCTATTGCATTTGTATATATGTATTGTATCTTGTACTGAATATGGTTTTATTATGAGAGGTTTACAATCCAATGTCATTTATTATATCTACAGATATGTCTATATATAGATTTATTTGGAGAATAATTATTTCACATCACCAATTCCATTCCTGTCCCAGGCAACTGATTTTGACTGAAACAGATTATTTGCAGCCTCAGGGTCATATTTGGCTCTGAGATGAACTTGTGACCACCAATATATTGCATCACCAAAACCACCTACTTCCATATCGTGCCTCACCTCAAAGTACCTACAATATGCCTAGATTTTATTATTCCAATGCTGTCCTAACCTGGCTCCATCTTCCATCCTACATAAAATTGCAGTCACCCAAAACTCTCGTGTTTGGTGACAACCCTGTGGGAGGTGGCAATGTAGAACCCTATCATAACTTAGGAAGAGATGGAGAGATGTGAAAAAAGAAGTGTGCAAAATGGGAAGGAAATGGTAAATCTCAACGAAGGGGAATCCTTGTTTGAAGAAAGAGGAAGACCTATCTGAAGTGTTGTTGCGAAGGTATCATTGCTGGAACAGTTGTGACTGAGATGTAGAAATTGCATAATAGAATAAAATTTTTCCAGGAAGCTGGGTGAGAATTAGTGTAAAGATAGTGTGAAGACAGATGTGGAATCAGAGTCTTATAATTGACAGTTGTTAGTTGACAGCCTATCCCCAGCAATTGGGATCAAGAAGTTGTTAAAGGGGAACTTAAACGTGAGAATAATATCTGGTGGTTTGTCTAGAGTAATGTGCAGCTTTAAAGCACATTTTCTGATGCGTACTGTATCACTTTGGCTGTATTTCATTCACTTTATTAATTGCTGCTACACAGTAGCTGAGAACATGAAATGTAGAACTACTACTAGCCCTGGATATTTTTCAGTTTCATGCTCTGCTATGTAACTAAGTACAGTAATACAATAATCACACAGCACTAAACTTCATCTTCTAGTATCCTACCCGCTTAAAAGTTTTGTTTAGAACCTTGGCCACAGCTCTCAAAATTGACAAGTTTGGATTAGGCTCAAACACTTAGCATTCTTATATGCTGTTGGAACATAAGAAAAGAAGTAAGCCATTCATGCTTTAATCCTCTCTTGTAATTGATGAGATGATGACTGATTATTTTCATTCCCTATAGCTGCTTTGAGTCTACTTCTTTTTACATCTCTGTTGAACAAAATTCTATCAATATAATAAAATTAAAAAAAACTGCAAGTTCTAGAGTTCTGAAACACCCAAAGACAGAATATTCTGTAAAGGGGTCACTGGACTCATTGGAACATAGGAATAGGTGTAGGCCATTCAGTCCCTCAAGGCTGTTCCGTCATTCAGTGAGATCATGGCTGATCTGTGGTTTAACTCCATATACCTGCCTTTGGCCCATATCCCTTGTTACCTTTGCTTAACAAATATTTATCAATCTCAGGTTTAAAGTTGACAACTGATACAGCATTCATTGCTGGTTGTAAAGGAGATTCTCCAACAATTTCTGTTTTATGTTTCAAAACTCTATCAATCTCTGAAAATTTTTAAGTCCCAACACTAATACTTTTCGAATATTTGTTTCTAACATATAATTTGCCCATTAAAAAGCGGGTGGATGCTGTTGCCATAAATTAATCTGAAGTATAGTCTAAATTCAGTAATTTGCATTACATAAGATTATAGAGATAAAATGGGGTTTTCCTTGATTCTTGGGAAAAATTGAAGACTGTTGTGGAAATGCAGGCGTTTTCTGAACCTACATCTGGGTAGTTGCTTATATAATGTCACAGTGGGACGTACATGACTGTGTTTTCTCCCACCACCCACATGTCATACCCTAATAATGTATTCATAGATGGCGAGTAGATTTGTCCCATGAATTCAGATACCCTTTGTTCTCCCACTTGCTATTGTTTCCTGATAGCACTTTCTTTTTTCTCATCCTTAACTCTGGATTCCTCTTCCAAGTATAAGCTTGACTTGGCTTTGAGCAAGTTGTAGTCATAACTCAGGACTTAACTGCGTAAACTAGGCTGACATTTCAGCTGAGTACTCTTGAAAATGCGGATGTTTTCAAGGGGCCTTCTTTCAGATGATTCATTGATAAAGTCTTGATCTTCCTTTTCAATTGATCTTGGTTCAGTTATAAGAATTAGGGTAGTTCTTTATCGCAGTCAACTTTCATGCCTCAGCTATTGCCACTTAAGATAGATTATCTGGATAAGCATTTCATTTGTTTTTGGTGTCCTGCTATGTAAAATGTCATGGTCATACAGTCGTAGAGGTCTACAGCACAGAAAAGGTTCTGAAAAAGGGTCACCGGACCTGAAACCTTGACTCTGCTTTCTCTCCACAGATGCTGCGAGACCTGCTGAGTTTCTCTAGCAATTTTTGTTTCCGAGTCTATTCAATTTCTCTTCAAAACTAAAATTCTCTAGCCCAGCAACATCTGGTAAATCTCCTCTGCATCCTCTTCAGTGCAGTCACATCCCTCCTAGAATGTGGATTGCAGAACTGCACATAATACTCCAGTTGTTGCCAAACCAACTTTTTATCCAGTTGCGATGTAACTTCCTTGCTCTTCAAATCTATGCTAATAAAGGCAAGCATCCTCTCTGCCTTCTTAACCACTTTATCTGCCAGTCCTACTACCTTAAGAGACCAGTGGACATGAAATCCAAGGTTCTTCTGATCCTTGGTGCTTCCAAGGATCCTACTATTCATCACGTATTCCCTTGCCTTGATTGTATTGCCCAAGTGCATCACCTCACACTTATCCGGATTGAATTCCATTTACCACTTATCAACACATCTAACCAGTCAGTCTGTATGCTGCTGTAATCTAAGGCTATTCTTCTCACAATTTACCATCCATCGATTTTTGTACATCTATGAATTCACTGACTGATAAACCTTCCAACATTTGAGTCTGAATAATTTAGATATGCCACAAATAGCAATGACCCCAACACTGATCCCTGCAAAACCCCAGTGGACACAGGCTTTCAGTAACAAAAACCTCTGTTTCCTGCCCTCAGCCAATTCTGGATCTAATTAGCCAAATTTCCTTAGCTCTCATGGACTCTTACCTTTTCCATTAGTCTATCATGCAGGGCCCTTATCAAAAGCCTTGCCAAAGTCCTAGTAGCCTGCATTGAATATGTTGTCCTCATCTACACACCTATTTACTAAGATAACTCCACAGAGGCCCCTATCCTGTCAGCAGGATATCTACATATGCCTAGAACTTGACATTGGTCTGGCTTCCTCAGAGCAGAACTTCTGACATTCCTGTTTCTAACAGCCCCAGTCAGGGAACTCATATTCTACGAGGTCCAACTGACTCACCTCGTTACAATCATTACGTTCCCCCTCACCGAGTGCAGGACATAGGCTGATTCCTTTTTTTTTGTAGCTCCTCCTGGGGTGTTTTAGCATTGGGTCATGTTCCTCCAAGTCTTCCTCAGATACAGGCACGTGTAACACACAGTATCTCACCTCTTGTGCCTGGAGTGTCTCGGAAGAAATTCATTCTTATCTTCAGGTGGCAAAGGCATTGAGGTGGCGACATCCACTGCATTCATCTCAGAATCATAGGTATCTTCAACGCTTGACAGAAAGGGAGAATCCCTGGGTTCCAGAACAGTCAGAAAGGCAGTCGAAGATCGGCACACATTTGCTCCCACGTCGTTTGCGTGTTTGCATCTTTCATATGACCCACGTGCTTGTTCAGGACCATTGCACCTACCCGAACTATGTCACTAGACCTGACCTTGCGACAACCATGCCTTTTACCCATGCAGGACCATTTCATGGTTCCTATACCAAACTACCATCCCCTTAAGTAAGTTGTCTCTCTCGCTTAAAAGAGACTTGTGTCCTGCATGTAACCCTGTGCGGAGTCTTCTCCCCGTTAGCAACGCTGCCGGAGCTGTCCCTTTGGTTGCATAGCTGTGGTCCTCTCGTCAAATCAGAATCAAGACAGTTTGTTATCTAGTGACACTGTGGGCTGTTTCTTTAAGCCTGCCTTTGAAGTTTGGACTGCTCTTTCTGCCAGACCATTGGATAATGGATGGCATGGAGCTGTCCGTACATGTCGAATACCATTTGACTTTAGGAAATACTCAAATTCCCTGCTGGTAAATGATGGCCTGTTATCTGTGGCCAACACTTCCAGGAGTCCGTGTATTGCAAAAGATGCGTGCAGTTTTTCTATAGTCATCCCCGTGTTTAACG